AGAGAGAGAGAGAGAAATGTGAAGTATAAAAAACTGTTGGTTCTTTGATTTATCATCTTTCTAAGGCCAATACCCGCTTACTAGTGCAGTGGACGTAAATTCTGTTTCATAGTAATCTCCAAACTAGATGCTAATTTCACAGTTTCTCTTCGATTGTCTGTTACAAGAACTCAAATGAAGACTGTGATTTTTGTTCAGACTAGCATTGAGCGAAGAAAGATGTCTCGGCGTCTCACAGAGGAAGCCATGAATTATTTTGATGAATGCATATCGATATCAACATTTGATAGCTCTGATTTCTCTTCTCCTGAAGAGTCACAAAGCAACTCAGCTATTGCTAGTGCCCAAACCAGTGGGAGCAGGTTTTACCCATGTGGAGTGGGTTCAACTAATTTAACCCCACATCACCCCTCTGCCCTTATACACAATGATCAGGTGTGTGTCTCCTCAAAGGACTGTAGTAGTTCTTTCTCTCACTATATTTGTCCTTGATGAAATGCGGTTTTGTTGCCACAAGCCAAAGAAATCCCCACTTTTAGAATGGCTGAACATTTTGCATTCTGAGACTTGTTTAGCTTTGAAAAGGTCGTCTTCTTCTTCCTGCCTGTGCTTTTTGTGGTAGCAGGCTCTTTGTGCGGCCAGGGGAGAGCTCTCTCTCTGTTTCTCTCTCTGTGCTGATTGCTCTGTTGCAGAAGTTATGCAATTTACTTTTACGATTGTTTGTATTAAGGAAAACGATAACTTTTCTTAAGATTTTAGTTGACGGTTCTCTATGAGAATGAAAATTTATTTCACCACAGTTAACCACTAATATTATTACCCATAATAGTACCAGTCATGGTAGTAGTAAGTAGTGATGATCAGCATTTAAAAAGTTGGGCTCAGGCTCCAACTCGCCAGGGTTCCTAGGCAAAGTCACCCTGGTCCAACTCTTGCAAGTCCTGAGTCGGACTGGAAAATTTTAACAAAAAAAAACAAAAAAAATTCTGAAAAACTGGGAGACTATGGTGATTCTGGGGTTTTTTGGCCTGAAATCGCCAGCCTTTCAATCTGGTCCAAACTCGGTTGGTGCCAAGTCGGACTGGTGAGTATTTAACCATTGGCGATGGTGGTGCCAATGATGATAATAATTATTCTTGTTGCTGAGTAGTCACTGTTTTTATCTATAGGAAGCTGCTAATGAAGCTAAAACATGCTTCACTCATGGAGGTTCTGAGTTAGAAGTTAGTAGCAGTAGCAACAGTAAACTTGTGAATGGCGGCAAGCATGACGCAGTTTGGGAGATAATGAATTATGTTGAGAAGTTTGGGAAAGAAGCTCAGAAGAAGGATAGTGAGAAATCAGGGACAGTAAGATCGGCGAGTTTTTATGAAGATGAATACTCATTCAGTGTGTCAGCTGAAGTTCTGTTGTTTGAAAATGTGAGACTCAGAAACAGAATAAGCTCTGGGGGGTTGCTACTCTGTGGGGTTGGAATCTTTTAAGAGAGAGAAAGAGAGATTACCATTTTTGTTGGAAGGGGAATTCATGTTACAAAAGTCAAAGGGATTTTAACTTGTTGAGAGAGAGCGTGTTGCCCATGTATTTTGTATGACACTGCCAATGTTTGAAGTGGATTGGCTTCTCCTAGAGAGAAAGAAAGAGAGTGCATTGCTTGTAAATTGTAATTTTTGAGAGAGAGAGAGGTGCATGTAAATTGTAATTTTATGTAAGCCCATATTGCCAAAATATGAAATGGATTGGCTTGTTTCCCTGTAAATGAGATGCGGAAGGGAGGGACCATTTTTTGGCAATAAAGAAGGAAAATGATTTGATTTGGATGCAGCCCTATTAAAATAAGGGATTGTATAGAATGAGGTCATTTACTTTTGATACAAGGTCGATACAATTGCTTACAACCATCCAATGTGAAATTTGATAGTTTGGATGGGTCACAAAGTTGAAAAAAAATTTATTTTGAAGTTTGAGCTTGATCAATGGAATAATTACAACCACCCAACTTTACATCCAATGGTCAAGATTAATGTGACTATTTTATAGGAAAGGGAAATGATCTTATTATGTAATTTCCTTTAAAATAAATAAAGCTTCATTTCATCACTCATCGAAAATTACAATTCAAGTATTGGAAAATCTTTACATATCATCTCGGCCTGAACATGATGATTGTGAAAAAAATTACGAGTTTAAGTTTTAAAAGTTGTATATATTGTAACAGATTATTTGGACAGTCTATTTCACCCTAAAAATAAATGTTTATAGATTTGCAAGATCTGTACCATTATTTGAATTACAAATTTTATTGTCTTAGTTAGAAATTGAATTTTAGTTGCCGAAAGTGATTCCCAGATGAAGATTTGACACGAGGCTTTGTTTTGTTTTTATAAAGCCCCGGCCTTACATAAACTGCATCTTAAAAAGAAGATGCAATATAGTCCAATGACCTATGCTATATGCCCCTTCATAGCTATATCTATAATTCATAGCCCTGATGGATGAATGAAGATCAAGGCCTCGTTTCGATTTCACTTCAAACAATGATTTTTAGATATTTTGGGTAATAATTTATTTATAAAATTGTGAAAACCAAGAAGTTAAATTTTTTGTATTGTGAATTCCAGCATGAAATGGAAGTCCATTTTGACGCAAGAAGCCAAATTGTAAATACAAATTAAAATCTTCAGGCTTTTTTTTTTTTAGCTGATCTGAAATGGTTTGAAAATGGCTCTTTTTTTCAGCTTATCTTCAACCTAGAGCTGGAGAGAGAAGAATAGAGAATAGTGCTATGCAATTCCCTCTCTTCCTATCCATGAAGAATGGGCAATACTCAGATTCCTTCATTCTCTCTCATGAGAGAGAGAGAGAGAGAGTTTGTTTTATCAAAGGAGATCGAAACCCAGGTTGTTGAGAAGGGGAAAAGGGCTATTCTCGAAATGCCAATCGTGTGAAGTAATTTTTTTTTTAGAAAATATGAGTGGTAAGATAAAAAGGGATAAAATTCGAAATGAATACATCAGTGGAGTAGCAAGTTTTGGAGTTAACATCTTCTTGGTCCGTTAGCTTTCATCATATATATAGAGAAGCGAATGATGTGGCAGATGGTTTGGTGAAAAAATGAGCTATTTTGGATTCGTTAATTGTCTCGTCTCGTCTGTAATATTTTGAGTTATGAGTTGTAATTCCCATTTAGTTAATAAAAGGTAAGTATTCTCATCAAAAAAAGAAAAGAAATTAGGTGTGACTTCAATAAGTGATAAGATGATAGAAAATATACTTAGGTGAGCTGGTCATTTATAATGCAGGCTAAAAAAAAACAAGAGGTAGGCTCAAAATGATATTGTTGGAAGTAGTGAGAAAACATATGACAACTTATGGACTCACTGAAGGTATGACATTTGATAGAGCAGAATGACGGATCAGTATTCGTGTAGTCGATCCTAAATAATTGCGACATGGCTCTAATGATGATGATAATATTAACTGCATAATAATAATGATAATTTAATTTTTTGTTATTGATTATAAATAATGAATAACAAAATAAAAAATTACCCCTATACGATATTAGTTTATCAATTGATTGTTGATTTTATCTAATTATATATAATGGAAAAGCATACAAAGACACCAATTATTTTTGGTACAAAATACTCTTATCCGTCAAAGTTCAAATTGGATAGTTGAAATAGTCTCAAGGATAAGACTCAAAGTTAAAAGAAATTATTGAACTTCATGACAAGCCCCAAACCATCCAATTTAATATGTAATGATTAGAATAATTGTGACTTCTTTGTAACGAAGATAAATGGTCTCATAGTATACAATCCCATATATAATTACCTAATGCTATAAGTAATAGTCAAATTAATGATAAATAGTTAATTATATTAAAATTAACAACATAATAATTATCCAACTTAGCTGATAATCTTACGGACATAGATGTCGTTATGAATAACTATTGCATGATATTGAACTCAATTATTTATGCTCACTCTTGGTATCTACGAAAAATATGGGATAATTATTATAAATTAAATGTGCAAGTAAAAAATATATATCTATACTACATTATTAAGCAAGAGTTAAGGAGTGAACACATCCCATAAGAATAAGAAGGGATCATAATACTATAGAGGTTATAAGATAGTTGACTTATTATTAGGTCACATACCCATCTTTGGGGTTGAGGGAGAGACATTATTATTAGGTCACATACCCATCTTTGGGGTTGAGGGAGAGACATGTATTTTTAAAGAAGAGATAGACTTGGAGAGGATATTGATTAAGAGAAAGAATACATAGAGAGGAAATTAAGAGAGAGAGAGAAAAATAATAATCATAGAGATAGATTGGTTTCTATCTTTATTTCTCCTATTTAGGGAGCGAGGGAGATAAGATAACCTTTTTTAAGAAAATTTATATGTTTGTTTAGGAAAAGAAAGTGAGAGTGGTGAGAGAGACGTGGATAGATAGAGCCACAAGGAAAGCCAAAATTATAGGGAGATACAATGAATTGAAATCTCAATAAATATCTTATAATAGACACGGTGTAAGTTATATGATACTTGATGAGATATTAATAGAGAAACATTAGAGAAAGTGGTTGAGAGAGGTGTGAGAGACCTCTCCCATCATATCGAGTAAGACAAAGAGAGAAAGAGAGAGAGAGTAAGCGTGCATTGTTTATTATTATTTTTGTTTATTTGTGTTTGGTATCATTTAGAGTTTTTTTTATTGATTTGTTTATTCTCATAAATATTTTTATTTGTTTATTATTATACAGGTATTTATACTGATTTCGTTATGCTTAATGATGCTGTATACATCTCTAAAGGACTTTAAAGGTATGTCAAAAATTTTGTTTATTTATTTAATATTTATTTATTTTTATAACTTTAACATCATGTATATTATTATGTGATTTGCTGACAATAAATCTCAGAGAATTTTTTTGTTTTTTTTATATTAACTTCTCATACTTTTAATTTTTCCCCATAACTCATCATCTTGCTTTGTTAATAAATTGAATATGAAAGTATAGGGAGATACAATCAATTAAAATCTAAATAAATATCTTATAGTAGACATGGTGGAAATTACATGATATTTGGTATAATATTAATTGAGAGACGCGAGAGAAAGTGATTGAGAGAGGTGCGAGAGACCTCTCCCATTATATCGAGATCGAGATCGAGATCGAGAGAGAGAGAGAGAGAGAGAGAGAGAGAGAGAGAGAGAGAGAGAGAGAGAGAGAGAGAGAGAGAGAGAGAGAGAGAGTAGAGAGTAGAGAGAGAGTAGTAGTAGAGTAAGTAGTAGTAGTAGTAGTAGAGTAGTAGAGTAGTAGTGTAGTAGTAGTAGTAGT